CAAAGTCGAGAACAACGTCCAGTATTGGGCCCCTACTTAAACAAGATGGGTCCTACACAGATGACAGCAAGGAAATGAGTGAGCTACTCAAGTCCCAATATGACTTAGTTTTTAGCAAGCCGCTAACCAGACTGAGAATCGAAGATGAAAATTAATTTTTTATGAGAGAGCCACAAAATTTGATTAACACAAGCCTATCCGATGTTATCCTGACGCCAAATGACTTCGAACAGGCGATAAATGACATGCCCATGCACTCTGCCCCAGGGCCAGACTCATGGAACTCCGTGTTCATCAAGAACTGCAAGAAGCCCCTATCACGAGCCTTTTCCATCCTATGGAGAGGGAGCATGGACACGGGGGTCGTCCCACAGTTACTAAAAACAACAGACATAGCCCCACTCCACAATGGGGGCAGTAAAGCAACAGCAAAGAACTACAGACCGATAGCACTAACATCCCATATCATAAAAATCTTTGAAAGGGTCCTAAGAAGCAAGATCACCACCCATCTAGAAACCCATCAGTTACACAACCCAGGGCAACATGGGTTTAGAACAGGTCGCTCCTGTCTGTCTCAACTATTGGATCACTGCGACAAGGTCCTAGATGCACTAGAAGACAAAAAGAATGCAGATGTAATATATACAGACTTTGCAAAAGCCTTCGACAAGTGTGACCATGGCGTAATAGCGCACAAAATGCGCGCTAAAGGAATAACAGGAAAAGTCGGTCGATGGATCTATAATTTCCTCACTAACAGAACACAGAGAGTAGTCGTCAACAGAGTAAAGTCCGAGGCAGCTACGGTGAAAAGCTCTGTTCCACAAGGCACAGTACTCGCTCCCATCTTGTTCCTCATCGTCATATCCGACATAGACAAGGATGTCAGCCACAGCACCGTGTCTTCCTTTGCAGATGACACCCGAATCTGCATGACAGTGTCTTCCATTGCAGACACTGCAAGGCTCCAGGTGGACATCAACCAAATCTTTCAGTGGGCTGCAGAAAACAATATGAAGTTCAACGATGAGAAATTTCAATTACTCAGATATGGTAAACACGAGGAAATTAAATCTTCATCAGAGTACAAAACAAATTCTGGCCACAAAATAGAGCGAAACACCAACGTCAAAGACCTGGGAGTGATCATGTCGGAGGATCTCACCTTCAAGGACCATAACATTGTATCAATCGCATCTGCTAGAAAAATGACAGGATGGATAATGAGAACCTTCAAAACTAGGGATGCCAAGCCCATGATGACACTCTTCAGGTCACTTGTTCTATCTAGGCTGGAATATTGCTGCACACTAACAGCACCTTTCAAGGCAGGTGAAATTGCTGACCTAGAAAATGTACAGAGAACCTTCACGGCGCGCATAACAGAGATAAAACACCTCAATTACTGGGAGCGCTTGAGGTTCCTAAACCTGTATTCTCTGGAACGCAGGCGGGAGAGATACATGATTATATACACCTGGAAAATCCTAGAGGGACTAGTACCGAACTTGCACACGAAAATCACTCACTACGAAAGCAAAAGACTTGGCAGACGATGCAACATCCCCCCAATGAAAAGCAGAGGTGTCACTAGCACGTTAAGAGACCATACAATAAGTGTCAGGGGCCCGAGACTGTTCAACTGCCTCCCAGCATACATAAGGGGGATTACCAACAGACCCCTGGCAGTCTTCAAGCTGGCACTGGACAAGCACCTAAAGTCGGTTCCTGACCAGCCGGGCTGTGGCTCGTACATTGGTTTGCATGCAGCCAGCAGTAACAGCCTGGTTGATCAGGCTCTGATCCACCAGGAGGCCTGGTCACAGACCGGGCCGCGGGGGCGTTGACCCTCGGAACTCTCTCCAGGTAAACTTCAGGTAGGAAGGTTAGCACAGGCACCACTGTGACCACAAATGCAAGTTGGAGATTCGTCTGTAAAAACTTTCATTTGTGGTCACAGTGGTGCCTGTGCTAACCTTCCTATGGTGTAGAAATATACCTAGTTGGACGAATCTTATTGTGGCTAGCTGGTCTAGTGGCTAACGCGACGGTCTGGAGTCTTGAGACTCTCTGACCGCGGGTTCAATCCCGGCCGGGGTATGGTTTATGACTACTTAATATGATCACAAGGAATTATATTTAAAGAGACATTTATACCTTGCTGGGACATTTATACCTTACTGCATTTAGAAAACTTTCATCCTTTCCATTCATAAAACAAATTTGGTTCAGGGTTGATTATCAAACTGCAATTCTAAGTAGTATTGCCATTAATGAGAGGTGGTAACAATGTTTTTAAGGTCTCTTAACCCTTTCATGGTCGACAGGCCCTCTCAGAGACTTGTTCTCAGGGTTGGCCAAATTTCAAAAAAAAAAAAAAAAATTTTTCTTATGAAAAGATAGAGAATCTTTTCCCGATCATAATGACACCAAAAGTATGAAATTTGATGGAAAACTTACGGAATTATGCTCTCACAAAGTTAGCGGTCTACGATGTTTACACATCGGCGATTTTGCCCACTTTGAGCCCTATTTTTGGCCAATTCCAGTGTACTTGTCAACAAAAATCATAACTATTTCGCTAGAACTCCATTTTTTCTATCGAATGAGTACAAGAAACCACCCATTTACTGATTTCAACTATCCAATACACTGGTCAGAATTTAACAATTTTGCCAATTTCACACAAATTTCAAAAGATGCCAATTTCTGAATAGGGTCCAGAATAAACAAGAAAGACATTCCTGGCACTAAAATCAAATTTCCTCTGTTCATTAATCACGTCCCCATGCCCCTCTTACATTCCTTTGCTTTCCACTTTGAATTTTTATTCTCACAAAAAAATAGAAAATTTACTGTTATGCAGGCTACTGCATTGGTGTAGAAATTGTATAAATATTATCAGCGCACTTGTGAAAGAATATTAGACTCACCAGTTGACATGTATTGGACGCATAGCATGATTTGTTTACTTTTGAACTTTGGTAAAAATTGAACATTTCTGCTATTTTTGAGTGCAATTTCAAGGTACTTTTCTTTGTAAAACCAGTCAAAATCATCTCAGTTTCTGTAATATGTCTTCCATTGTATAAAATAAGACCAGGAAAACTAGACTACAACAATAAATACCATACGAAAATACAGTTTTTTTTCTCATTACGCACTGTGTGCTGCAGGATTTTTTGTTATACCGCGCACACTGACCACATAGACCCATTCTTTCATATGTAGGCCTACCAGCTTTCTCTTACTAGATTTGAGGGCACTAGAATTTAGGCATACTAGTACGTACGTCAAAAACCCTGGTGCGTAAGCCGTACTAGTACGGCCGAAACCCTGAAAGGGTTAAATTCCTTCATGGCTTGTAAACTACTGTACATTTATAATTACAGTACAGTGGACCCCCGCTTAACGATAACCTCCCAATGCGACCAATTATGTAAGTGTATTTATGTAAGTGCGTTTGTACGTGTATGTTTGGGGGTCTGAAATGGACTAATCTACTTCACAATATTCCTTATGGGAACAAATTCGGTCAGTACTGGCACCTGAACATACTTCTGGAATGAAAAAATATCGTTAACCGGGGGTCCACTGTATTCGGGTAGAAATATACAGATTCATTTCACTACAGGTCCACAACCCTTTATCTGAAGTTCTGAAATTGGAAAAGTTCCGAAAACCAAAGTTTTTTCGTGGAGTGTGAAGCGTCGGTCATCTCAGTGCTGAGTCATGCCACCATGTGGTGGCGTTGAGAATCATTGTGAACTTCACAAAGTTCTGAAATTCGAAACAATACTGGCCCCAAGGGTTTCGGATAAGGGGATGTGGACCTGTACTGACTTCTGTACTGTCCATGTCTGTACATCCTGTCATACAAATGTGTAAAAGAAAACATGTCAAATGTTTTGCCTTCTGGCAGCATTTCTGGTCTTTTCTTTGTCCCATAAATACATAAATACCAGGTAAATATTGCAATTTTCTACTTACATGTTGTATTCACATGCAGTATCTTTACTTTGCTGTGCTGTATGTTTTGTAATATTTGTTTTTCCTGTGTTTCCTTTCCAATTTACGAAGTCTGGTCTTTGGACCTTGTAGGCTTATCCCCGGAATCAGATAGCAAATACTGTAGCTGGAGAATATCATGCTTAGTGAAATTTTTCACACTCCTTCCCCTTTCTCTTTTAATTTCCTCATCACATACAAGTTAATCACGTACACCTTCCATTTGAAATGGAATTAGCGTGCATATGGGACCTGACGATCTGTTGGAGTGTGAGCAGGGTAATATTAAGTGAAGGGATTCAGGGAAACCGGTTATTTTTATATAGCCGGACTTGAGTCCTGGAAATGGGAAGTACAATGCCTGCACTCTAAAGGAGGGGTTCGGGATATTGGCAGTTTGGAAGAATATGTTGTGTATCTTTATAGGTATATGCTTCTAAGCTGTTGTGTTCTGAGCACCTCTGCAAAAACAGTGATTATGTGTGAGTGAGGTGAAAGTGTTGAATGATGATGAAAGTATTTTCTTTTTGGGTATTTTCTTTTTTTTTGGGATCACCCTGCCTCGGTGGGAGACGGCCGACTTGTTAAAAAAAAAAAAATGTTTTCCAAGTGGTAGAATAGTTGGTTGACCTTAGATTGCAAATAGAAAAGAATGCATTTCAGTATGTTCTATTGACATAGATAAAATTATTCATAACCTAGACATGGCTTACAACCACTCAATCACATTTGGCCCAAAAAATCACACAGACAGCACAGTGCTTGTGACTAATGATTGGTACTCTGTTTTATCTGCTTGTAATGTATTAATATGGGTTAATAGCAACCCCTACATCTGCTACTGATGTCTAAGATTAAAGCCTATATATACTGCACTAACCTCTAACATGGTAACATCTGGTAGTGATGGTGATGGGGCTTGACTTGTTGTGATATCACTTAGAATTGTTCTAGAACATCACAGTTTTTAATTTCTATTTTGCATGCAGCAAAAACAAGGAGCAGGAAAGGCTAAAGAAATTAGCTAGTCAGCAGTACCAAGATTTTCGGGATAAGCAGACTAGGTGAGATACTTTGTGTTGTAGTCCCCTCTTAATCTACTAACCAGTTCTAAGGAGATGAAAATAATTATTTTAATTGATTTATAGTATGATTAATTTATTTCTGTGATGTGAGACATATTTATTTTGATCTCCTTTAGAATAAAGTGACTAGTTTTATTCCATAGCTCTTTTAAGTTTTTTGTATGTATATTGTAGTAAAATGTGTATGCTGAATTAGTTTTTGTACTTTTATATTCCATGTAACATTGTGACTGTTAGTTATGTGAAGATTTGTTGTATTTCTGTAATGTATACTGTATGAAAACAAGAGAATATACATATTTCTTTAATTAAATAACTTAAAAAAATTATTTTTAAATGTATATTTTTGCTGTGTTCCTTGTTAAGAACACTTTGTCTACTAATATCTAACTTAAAATTTATTGTGTGTAATAATGCTGACATTATCAATATTTTAGTAAGAAATAGTAGCAAATAGTCCTGTAAATGTGCATGTTCACATATAATTGAGGTTTATTCACAATACTATAATTGTTTTTTTCTCTGTAGACAAAAAAAAAAAATTGTTATTGCCAGTTTTGAAGATGCATAATGTACTAACTTCAAATTATATTATATACTTCATGCACTTCTTTATGGATGAGTTTAACAATTGTTTTGGATGGCCAAAAAAAAAAAAAAAAACACGTATCTTGAGTATATAATATAAATGTTAATTCAAATAACCAAAATTTATATTTGTCACTCCACAATGGTCATATACTCTGACTAGGCACACTGGCTTTTAATATGAAATCACATAGTATGTTTTGGTGCAGTCTTGTACAGTATTATTTCTGTAATTAATGGAAAAGCAAAAGATGTTTATTAAAATAATTAAGTGATAATAAGTGTTGTTTATGTATGAAAAACATGAGATATCACAGTAAAGGCATCTTGTAAATCTTGAATACAGTAATGGCATCTTGCAAATCTTAGTAATTTTTTGAAGAATGAAAGTTGCAGTATTGTAACTGGAACAGTTCACAACTACCCCTACAAATATGAGATGAATCTGTAGATGTTTTGGTCTTTTGTTTATCATTATTATTATTTATTGACAATCCAGGGTGGGCTTTAATGTTGTCTAAAGTTTTAATCTCCATTATTTGGTTTTATGGAAGTACAAGACTCCCTTAGTATTTATGTATAATATTTAATTTCTGTGTGAATATAGTGCATGTGTGGCATTTTATGTACTGTACTGTATTGTATGGCTTCTCTCTTTCATGAATTTTTTCCTTAGGTTATTGCAGTTCAACGGATAAAATAACTAACATCAATTTAACTAGTTATTTTCCTTCATTAATATTGCCACAGTGGTGATCATCGGGCTTGCATATACATCTTCAAACATAGGCCTTGCAAACTTTGGCAGAATGTTGGTTTAGGTTATTAATTTATTTGTTTTTACTGTTTTATAACTACCATTTTATTTTTCATTAATTGTCTGTGCAATTTATTGATTTTTTCAATTTTGATTTTTAACATCTGTCTTAATTTCATTTTATGGAGATACTATGATTATTGATGGCATCTTTGAAAAGTTGTATTGAATTTATTTTGTTTATAACTAGCATATGGGCAGAGTAACTTAATTCTTAGGTGTAATATAGGTGATAATGTGAAGAGTTTGATAAACTACTAATCACTTTAATAAACATACAAAAAGTTATTCCTTATAACAGTGGAAACTATCACTACTGGGGAAAAAATTGGAATTTGGTCTTTGGTAATCTTGTTGGTGCATTTATTGTAAAAGTCTGGGCAAGGAAAATATTTAATCTCTTCCAAGTTAAACAGTTATCCTGGGCTGTCTAATGAGTAGTCTGAGACAACTGTTCTACTACCTTCACTAGCCTTGATGCTAGTAAAGGCTCTTGATCCCTGGAATTAGTTATGCTCCTTGTGAATTGAACCTGATTACCAGCAGCTGTGTAACCCATATGGGTTTAGTACTCCCCGTGACTAATACTGCCACTTGCAACATAGGTTAATGAGTTTTTCTAATACAATACATAATTGTTAACTACACCCATATAGGATTTGTCATTAAACTTCTATGATTCCTTTTATAGGACAGTAACATATTTTAAAGTATGTATAATTTGTCATATTTTGTTTGAGTAAAATAGTTTGCTTGCAAACTGGAATAATTCAAAATCTAAAATTATTGGAAGCCTTAATTAAAAAATCTTAAGATCATGTCATTGGAGTCAGTAACTTAATAAATAGCATGAATAGTAAGTCATTGTGAAACGGTGGATAAGATTTGTGATGCTGTGCTTCCTGGGCTATCTTCTTTCAGTAAACATTTAACCAAATTAATATTTCAGTCTTATTTGTCAGTTGAGCTCTCAAAATATTTGTTCCTAAATGTTTGCTGCATTGTAACAGCTTGAAGATCAAATGAATAAGAATTAAATATTTTCCTAAGAAAGTTCTTTAAGCAGTTGTCTATAACTGTATAGAAATTCCCATTGAAATCTCAAATGGGTTTATAAATTGGAGTGATTGAGAGAAGGTGAATGGCTCAGTTAGATAAATTAGTGAGTGCCATCACTAATCATTGTGTCACTTCGTTAGTTAACTGGATTTTTTATAGCAGTTTGAAAAGCCAGGCTCACAGATGTGTTTGAATAAAGAAAGGGGAAATTTCATATTACAAATGGTGGTTTTAATCCTTGGGTAGAGAGATAGCACAAAATTTACATGTAGGTCTTAAATTTTTAAAGGGATTTCAAACATATCTTGAGGCTTTTTCAATACTGATATTGGTGTTGGTCTAATTAACACTCCCACTGCACCCACTCCCACCCTCACCATGCAGGAGACAGCAGGACACCTCCAACGGTACCCTGTTGCACAAACTGGAGGAGACGTTTATTCACGAATCAATTCTTGCAAGGTATATTGCATGTGGCGGAGGATGCATGAGGCATGTGTCTTTCATTATGTATTTGCAACTTCTTTTTTTAGTTTAGTGTTACATTAGTTTTTTTTTAGTTTTTAAGATCATAGTTTTGAATAAAAAAGTATAATTTATTGTCATTGATGGTGTTTTAACATACCCAATTTGATGATCAGTATTAACTCTTAGAAATATTATGTTGGAGAAGTCCATGTCATTGTTATGGAGCCACTTATATTGCCATTCAGTGTGTAGTAAGGAGCCACTATTCATGAGAGATGTGTTACTGTGCTTCTGCACACCCAAATACTAGGTACAGTATATATTTTTTTAACTGGCTCTCTCTCACCGAGGTTGATTGACCCAACAAAGAAAACACTTTCACTGTCACTCATTCAATTGCTGTCATGCCATAAGGGCACTGACATTGCAGTTCAGAGAACCCTCCAAACCACAACACTCCGACCCCTCCTTCAGAGTGCAGGCAATATACTTTCACCTCCAGGACTCAGGTCCAGCTAACCAGTTTTCCCCTGAATTCTTTCATAAATGTTACCTTGCTCATAATCTGACATGTCAAATTATAAAATTCACTTGCCTCTACTCACTCCTATCAAACATGCTCACACAAGCCTGCTGGATGTCTAAAGCTCCAGCAGTAACATCATAGATGGTGTCTGAGATAAATGTCAGACACTACTTGTTTTACTACGCCATACTCCTTGCACACCCAGGCCACTGAAATGCCTGCTTCAATTTCTTTATTAAGTTTTTGCTTAAGTTAAGGTCACAAGCTTCTTCGTGCCATCACTAACTTTAGAGGCCATTGTTACTTCATTAAAGTACAGGGTACTCTAATGAAGTAACGAAAAACATTGTAAATCCAGGAAAAATTAGGGACCAAATGATAGTATACAAGTGTGCACACAAATAACTAATTGATGTGGGTTAAGTCACTGGCCTTCCTGCCAAGGAACATATTCATTTTATCGATGGTATGACTAGAGCAGCCTAGGTAGTAGGTTGGTAGACAGCAAATGCCCAGGGAGGTACTACCATCCTCCCAAGGGAGTGTAAAACGAAAGCCTGTAATTGTTTTACACAGTAATAGGATTGCTGGTGTCTTTTTTTCTGTCTCACAAACATACAAGATTTCAGGTATGTCTTGCTACTTCTACTCACACTTAGGCTACACTACACATGCATATATATACACTCCCCTCTGGGTTTTCTTCCTCCGTAAGCCATGCATGTCGTATGAGGTGACCAAAATGCCGGGAGCAAGGGGCTAGTAATCCCTTCTCTTATATACATTACTAATGTTAAAATGAGAAACTTTGTTTTTCTTTTTGGGCTACCCTGCTTTGGTGAGATATGGTCAGTTTGTTGAAAGAAAGAACATGAATAGACCAAACAGCCATGTGATGTAGCAGACTTGGTCCACTGCATTGCTATTTGTACCAGACACCCCATGCAGTAGACATGTTGAGTCTTTGTCTGGCCAGATTTTTTTGTCCATTTTATCCAATATCCGCTTTATGGAGGTTCGTTACACCAAGGTTTTACCATAGAGTAATCTGAAGATTTTATTGTACGGTAATATCTGCTGATTTGTTATTAGTAAAAATGCCAGTAATCTTTTAGATAAATGGACACATGCAACTAAGATGTCTATTGTAAGTGTTTCACTCACCAGGAACTTTTGCTTGACAAAGCTTCTGTTGAGTGAAACAGCTGTAATAATATCATTAGTTACATATGTGTTGATTTACCTAACAGTAATAGCTACTACTGAGGACACCATGACAAAAGTGAATGAAAGAGGTAATGAGGATGGGAAGCAGTAGGAGAATAAGTAATTTTGGTGAAATAAACAAGTTGAGAAAGGCCGGGAAACAGATGGGTTTAACAGTCAAGAATGAGTATGGCAAGATGCTAGTAGAGAAGGTGCAAGTATTGGAAGAATGAGAAGAATATTTTGAAAAGTTTTAACATTAATGATGCTGTGTAACCCTTGTGGTTTAGCATTTTTTTTATTATAATAATAATAATTAACATTAATGATAAAAGATTAGAGATGATTTTGTGCAAGGGACAGGGAGAACTGGAATCTTTTCAGAGCAGGGAACTGTATGACCCTTGTAGGTTTAGCACTTAGTTATGATTATAATAATCAGAGGAGGGAAGATCTAGTGGTGAGAGCAAAAGAAGCATGTGACGGAGTTGGGTAGGTTGACAGGGGGATAAAGCAGTGGGCACAGAGGGGAGTCAGACTTAGATGCTGAAAGTATATATGTATATAGTTCTTAAATGGTTGGTGTACACTGGAACCTTGACTTGTGAGTTTACTCAGTTCCGTGACCTAGCTCGTAACTCAATTTGCTTGTATATCAGATCAATTTTCCTCACTTAAATTAATTGAATATCCATTAATCCATTCCTGCAGTCTGGAGGCAAGAAAAAATACTTGAATATGATGCCGTTATCAAGTGTATGGCTTATTTATCTATCACAATTCATCTAATATGACGTAATAAACAATATAATTAACACAGAAACATTATATATACTCTAGAATGGATAAAATAGGCCATAATATGGGGGCAGAGGCAGCGGCAGAAGCATCCGCCATTTCCTATCCCACTTTGACTACAGTATCTTCCCATGCTCTTATTTTAAGAGAAAATGGAGTATTTTTGAGGCTAACTGCAGTAGATCACTAGTTTTCTAAGGAAAATACTGAAACAATATTGTATATAAAAACATAATAAATCATAATACATACACTACAGAATGTAAAGAAATGCTAAACTGTTTATATAAAGTGTATATGTACTTACTCACTTAGAAGCAGAGATGGTGGGAGAGGCTGAGGGTGGGGCATGTTGAGGGTGCGGCGTATGATGTCAGTGGCCCTGTAAACCTCCAACAACAACATTGTTTTGTTTGATTGCTGAGCTTAACTGATACAATTTGTTTTGTTTAATCACTGAACTTAACTGATACAATTTGTTTTGTTTGATCACTGAACATAACTGATACAACTTTAGTATCTACATACCATAGATGTACTAAGCTGGTATTGCCTGGCTAAGCCCATGAAAATCATCATCTTTTTCTTATACCCCAAACCTCAGGCAGGCATTCTCAGAAGTGCGTGCCTTGGTGGTCTCCTGCTTGTGCTCGTGCAGTACGTTTGAAACGTGCTGCATGGGGCAGGTATCGGTACAATAGAACCCCTGAGAGATTTCTTGATTTTAAGCAGAAGCGTGCGATCGCTCGCCATGTCATCCGTGAAGCTAAACGCACTTGTTGGCGAGACTATGTTTCCACCATCACCTCTGCTTCTTCTATGAGTGCAGTCTGGAAAAAAGTGAGGAAATTGAGTGGTAAATACTCTCCTGTTCTACGGGTCGCTGGTGTTGATGTAGCAAACCCTCTCGACGTTGCCATTGAACTTGGCACACTTCTGGTCCGTATTTCCCGAGGGCTCCATCTATGCCCCTCGTTTCTTTCCTCAAAGTCTGCCAGAGAGTTAGTACCCTTGGACTTTTCTTCTCTCAGAGAAGAACAGTATAATGTGCCTTTTACACTTCAAGAACTGGAGGCAACGCTCTCAGCTTGCCGATCATCGGCAGCTGGGCCTGACGACATTCATATTCGTATGTTACAACATTTACATCGGTCAGCCCTTGTAGTCCTCTTACACCTCTTCAATCTTATTTGGGCACAAGGAGTTCTTCCCCAGCTGTGGAAATCTGCCATTGTTCTCCCTTTCCGCAAACCGGGTACTACAGGACATGATGCCTCCCACTGTCGTCCCATCGCACTTACTAGTGCAGTTTGCAAAGTGATGGAACGTCTCGTAAATCGATGTTTAATGTGGTATTTAGAGACACACAACAGTCTCTCCGCTAGTCAATATGGCTTTCGTAAGGGTCGTTCTACCATAGACCCCTTACTACGCTTGGATACGTATGTTCGTAATGCCTTTGCGAATAATCACTCAGTTATTGCCATATTTTTTGACCTTGAGAAGGCATATGACACAACTTGGAGGTATAATATTTTGGCCCAGGCCCATTCCTTAGGCCTGCGAGGCAATCTACCATCCTTCCTTAAAAACTTTTTAACTGACAGACATTTCCGTGTTCGAGTCAATAATGTTCTTTCCCTGGACTTCGTCCAAGCTGAAGGTGTCCCTCAGGGATGTGTTCTAAGCACAACACTTTTTCTCCTTGCTATAAATGATTTGGCCTCTGTTCTTCCACCCAATATTTGGTCATCACTCTATGTTGATGACTTTGCTATTGCTTGTGCAGGCGCTGACTGTCATCTTATTGCAGTTTCTCTCCAGCATGCGGTCGACCATGTTTCCACTTGGGCCACCACTCATGGGTTTAAATTTTCAAGTACCAAAACTCACCAAATTACTTTCACTAGACGCTCTGTTATCTCCGATCATCCTTTGTATCTCTATGGCTCCCGTATCCCCGAACGTGATACAGTCAGGTTTCTAGGCCTTCTCTTTGACCGTCGGTTATCCTGGAAACCTCACATAACCTCTCTGAAGGCAACTTGTCACAGCCGGCTAAACCTTCTTAAAACCCTTGCTCATCTTTCCTGGGGAGCTGATCGTCGAACTCTGCTTCGCCTACATTCAGCCCTCGTTTTATCGAAACTCGATTATGGTGACTAGATTTATTCCGCAGCCTCTCCTGCTACTCTCTCTAGCCTTAACTCTATCCATCACCAAGGATTACGTTTGTGCCTTGGTGCTTTTCGCTCTTCCCCTGTTGAGAGCCTCTTTACAGAAGCGAATGTTCCATCCTTGTCTGATCGCCGTGATGCCCATTGCCTTCGCTACTATGTACGCTCTCACGATCTACACAATCCTTCCATTTATAGAATGGTCACCGTTAAAGTAGACATTCTTTATTCGTTCGCCGCCCCTGTTTGCTCCGTCCCTTTTCTCTTCGCCTACATTCACTCTTGTCTTCCCTTCAGTTACCACCTTTATATGTTCA